ACTGGTCCATTCCCCCCCCCCCACATTTCAGTAGACTGTCTATTGTTATACACAATACATTATTGCGCAACAGGCTGTCAACCATCACATGGTACTGTGTTGCGTTTGATTAGGTTAGGATGCCCTGTTAGGATTGCACAGTACACTCTTGTGGAACATCCTGATCCTTTGCTACCACTGGATTCCAGCAGTCCATCCACTATTCTGCATGGATTGGATTAGGTTAGGATAACAGATTATGTCTATAGAACAGTACTGCTCAACATTCTTCACATTAATCCCCCCAGTCGCATTGAGTTCAAACGTCCACCTATTTGAGTGGCTTGAGTAAGGTTGTGCAGTACACAACTTCCTTCACATTCCAACATATTCCCACCTGATTCTGGGAGGCCATCCAGAGATTCATGTGGATTGGGTTAATTTTAGTTAGGTCTAAGGTTAGGTTTTTTCAGTGCACTACTTGGCATCCTGCACACTGCCCCCCCCTGGATTCCAGCAGCCCATCCGCCATTTCATATGGATGTGTTTGGGTTATGTTAGGATGTGAGATTATGTTTGCACAATACACTACTGCGCAACATCCCACACATTAACCCACCATTCCAAGAGAGCATTCACTGACTTGCATGGATTGGGTTAATGGTAGGTTGGGCTCTGAGGTTAGGTTTGCACAGTACACTACTAAACAGCATCCTGCACAATTTTCTGCCCCCGCCCCCCAGATTCCAGTAGGCTGTCCACTGTTCTGCATTGACTCTCTTAGGTTAGGTTAGATTGTCTGATCAGTTTTGGACAGTGCACTACTGATCAAGAACCTGCATGCCCCCCCCCCCTCATTCTGGTAGACCGTCCACTGATTTGAGCGCTCTTGGACGTTGCATCATCCTATATCATAAGTAAAATTGGGGTTAAATTCCATCAAATGCAACAGTTTTTTAATAATAAAAATAAAATAAAACCTTTACATATTTTGGCCAATGATGGCCATCATCAGAAGGCAACCAACACCTGAAAGGAGAGGCTTCACATGCGTTACATTCATGGTAAACCTGTAAATTCAGGTGGGAGGAAACTTCATGTAATTATTACCAAGAATGAGACTTCAATAATCTTTGCATGCATTCATAAACATTAATGACTGTTGAATTTACAAGTTAGGAAGTGAATGCAGGACAACAGTTCTTACTTAATTATCTCAAAAACTTTATGACTTATAGGAAAGGTGTACTGGGTATAAAGTGTTTTATTCTTTCTCTATAATTTTGCTTGAAATGTTTTTTNATTTCTATGTGCTAAGTTAAGGGAAATTCAGTATACATACACCGAGAGCTGAAGGGAGATGACACTCACCATCATATTTGATTGTAAGAGCATGCCGTCCTGCTTCTTGTGGTTTTACATTGAGAGTAAAAGTGCCATCACCATGATCGTAGAGTTCACAGTATGCCACTTTGTGTGGCCCAACACAATGGGCTGTCAGCTCACCTGGAAGGTAAGATTGTTTTCACAGACTTTTTTTATTATTATTTGAAGTTTTCACAATGTGAAGAGTACTATCTTCTGGGTGCTCCCAATGCCAGCTGCATGCTCTTGCTGGGCTTACTCTTTGACCCTGAAGATGCAGGCATTAAGTTCCTCCAAAAGTCAGTGCACTTCTACTGGCCTACACAGCATTACATCCCAAAAGACTGTACTCTTCTAAAGCAGCTGTGCAGAAGTCAGAAAATAAAATGATAAATCCAGGAATAACCCCCTCCCCAATTATTACATCTTGGTCCCCTACTTACCTAATCCTTCCATCTGCACTACACTTGACTCAGCCTCTAACAGAAGTGGTACCAGGAATCTTTCTGGAGTAAAGGACAGCCGGCATGTAAGGCTGACAACCCTACCACCATCTGTGAACCGACTGTCTAGAGAATATGTGAGGGCCTCAACATCTCACAACCCTATGGGCCTTCACGGCCTGTTATAGGGATAGCTCTACCTTTTACCGTTTTTTCGTCCAGCCCACCATTAGAGAGGTATAAATTCGAACAGATAAAAAGGTGGGAAATATTTATGATTAGAAATGTTTCTTTGTTTATGAGACAGATGTCCATCCATTGGCAAGAAGTTATAACCAGGACAGTGGGAGCAATGAAGCAGCTGAGTTCTGCAAGGGAGGCTGAGAAGAGATGGCGCTATAGTTCAGATGGCAGTTCAGTTGTGCGATATTCATCGGACAGTAACAACATGAGCACAGAAGCTGACGAATTTCCTTTGCTGAGAGCTGTTATCAACCAACAGCTAGTGAGGATACTGCAGGCTGGAGAAGACTTAGCATATAGTGATTTGTAAAGTGTGTAGATCAGCGATAATGCTGTAATTACTTGTACTTAAGAGTTGTGTGCAAAAGTGACCAATAAATCCAATCACCAATCCATACCCCATGTATAATCACCCCTAACTTTGACAATATTTTAATAATTAAGAAAGTATTTATATCCTACAAATAACATTAGCAGCTGAGGCGCATCTGGCAGAATGATAATTTTTGCTTGAAGACCTGATGCTGAACATAGAAAAGTCTCTGATATACTGAGTAAGAACTTGAAGACCAGCAGTTTCCAGAAGGGAAAGAATTACTTGATTAGTGTCTCCTTAACTCTTTGGTTACTCATGAGTGACAGACTGTGGGCTGGATGGCCAGAATTCTGTTTCCAGCAAGGGTAAGATTTTTTTCTCTTCTCCACAGCATCCAGATGAGCTCTTAGGCCCACCTAGCCGCCTGTCTGATGGGTACTTGGGGAAATTTCCCCCCAGGGCTGGGCCAAGAAGCTCACAACTCACCATCTATTGCTGATATCAAGGTGGAGCTATCTATACCTCCACTCTTCCATGTCTCCTTGGCATAGTACATAATTAAGCAAGCACAGGGACTTTACCTTTATCATACTAAAAAACTTGATTCCAAGAATTTTAATGTATTTTAAATGTGGTATGAGATATTTTCTTTAAATAATATTTAAGACCATCCATGGCCCCATCCCAACACACACATGCACACACAAAAACCCCCTATGTCATATGTGTTGTTTGAAGCAGATTTATTAAAAATTAGAGAAAAAGAAGCACAGAAAGGGTTGAATGCTATACAGTAAGCACAGACTTAAATACCTGGGCCAGCACGTCTTGTATCAATGAAGCTTCGTATTTCCTTGCCTACTGTACCAACACGAAGTCCATCCCCAGAGCAAACAACTCTGCCTGCATCAGCTACTGCTGTTACTGCAACTTTCAGGGGGCAGCCCTTCACTTGCCTGCAGATATAGTGCACAATTTTAAATTTGATATTTTGTAAGAGTACAGCAGGTACAAATGGCATAAGGAGGAGTAATAGGCAAGAAGAATTAAAATGTTGCAAGAAATATTCTGTATGCATAAATTCTTTTGACATTTATAAAGAGAAAGTATTTCTACATACAGTTTATGTCAGTGGCCCAATACCGCGTTGAAGAGCAGTAAGTTTTGCGCTACTGTTTGGCAGTATTAATTGTAAATTAAATAAGGGGTGACTTCAATGTTTCTTGGGGAAGTAGCAGAACAGTTATTGAAGTGTAATGACAGGCTTTTAATGTCAACACATCACAGTAAATAAATGACATGCTTTATATAAATTACTTTGAATGTAATATTAATACCTAAGAGAACAGTTTGACTGACTGAAACTTGATTTTAAATTGGCCATCACAATTGTAAAAATTACAGAAAATCGATGATCAGTGTCGAGAAATAATGGTGTCCTCATTATGCAATAGGTATGTTGTTGAGCAACTGTGAAAGAGTATTAAAATGAGAATTCTTAGTGGTGTGATAGGGACATGTATACAGCAGATTCAAAAGTGTGAATATGATGGTGCAAGACAGCCATAAAAAATATATTTTCTAATACCTTAGTAATGTGTGAACAGAAAACAGTTCTGTATTGTATAATCAATTTAGTAAACCAGTACATAGCATATGTACAACAAGCAGCTCCAGTTTAGGCAGAATGTGATAAACTCATAAGTAACTTTTCACAAGAACACGTGAATAAAATTTCACCCATTGGGCTTTGTCAATGTTGAAAAAAATGCTGTCAAGATGTGAGCACTGAACTGAAAGGAAGACTTTCAGAGAGGTCCACTGACATGAGACTGTGAGCTGCAATGGACAGTCCCTGACTTATCATGCAGAAAACAATGTCATAATACCAAAATGTGCTGTACTCTTGACTGAGGTTTGTGTAAAAATATCATACTTCTACGTGGAGTGTATGGGGTTTTAAAGGACATTAAAATCAGTTTACCTGCTAGAACTTAGAAACATTCAAATTAAATGGAAGACCAAAGCAATAATTTTTTATGTAACATTACAATTCACTCACCTATCTGACCACATTACATTCAAAAGATAAGCTCCTGGTATGGTTGGTGTGTAGGTGGCTCGGTATGTACTGTTACCCAGGTTCTGCAACTGAACTTTAATGTCAGTTTTCATGCCCGTTAAAGTTACTTCTGGCAAACCTAGAAGAAAAATCATGGTAGAGAACAGCGAACTGTAATTCAAAGACCAGTATTTAAATTTTACTCAGACCTTAGAATAGCTCATAATATTTCCAGAAAACATTCTCAGGTGTGCATTTAAGTGAATAAGCATATAAAACTGATTTTTGTATAAAGAAATGTGTAATTACAGGGCACTATAATGAACCTTCCTCAAAATGAAATCTCTAATGAATAGGCATAACATATCTTGCAATAATACTGTCATAAATTAAGTTATCCCTGTGCTTAACTAATTAAGCATTATGCGTTGAAACATATGAGGAAGTGTATGTATAGGTCCACATTTTCTTGGCCTTGGCACTAGTTGGAGGCGAGTGATCAGCTTCACGCCCCAGCTGCTTTATCCCTGGTGAAAGAGCCCCCGTTACCCATTGTGTAGGAAGCTGGGTGACCCAGAGCTGGTCTAGACAACGTGGAGAAGAGAATATTCTTGACCTTACTGGGACTCAAACTCTGACTCCTCAGTCGTCCAACCCATAGCCAGTCACTGTACCGACTGCACTATCCCAGCTCCCATTAATGATATACACAGGATAAAAAGTAAAAAAAAATATTACAAGAAAAAAAATATTTGATAAAACCAGTTGGTATCGTGGACTGTAACTGTTCACTTGGTCAAGAAACTATGATGGTATTACAAAGCTATGTAATAAACTGTACTGATAGCACTGAAAATTCAGGAAATATTTGAATATTAATTACCAGACATTGCAGAACAAAGTATGTGACACAGAGGCACTGATTAATATTTCATGACATACAAGTTAGTTGATGTGTGAGTGCACTGGGGATGCTAGAGCTTCCAATGAACTGTACCTGGTCCAGCTTGTGATCCGTCAATGGTAAATTCTGCCTCTTCATGGCATCTTGCTCCTGCAAGTCCTCTTCCGGTCAGTACAACTCGTACTGGGCCACTGGAAGCCCCCAAGCCTCCATCTGCAAGTCCCAGAAGTGGAGAACGAGGGAGAGGAAAGCCACCATATTGAAGATATATCAAGTGCTCTCCTGAGGTTCGTGGAGTCAGTAACAAACGCACTCGTGATCCTGAGGTTGGTTCAACAGCAATGGGCACAGAGTTTCCAGAAGGACCACGACATTCTGCAGTCAGCTGGCCTGTGTAGCAGGAGGCAAGGATGTGAAAAGAATTAACTATACAAATCTATGGGCAAAGAGAAAAGAAACAGAATCACATATGTACGTAGGTAAGTCAATAAGTAAGTTACAAATGGGTATAGAACTTAAACAAATAAAGAGTACTGATCTGAAAATCTGTTGTGGGGTCAGCATGTGCGGCACCCATCGTGCACAGACTTTGTGAAAACCTAACCTGTCATGCATTATGAGGTAGATCATGCCATGTGAACATGNAGAACCAGGCGGTGACTTTCCTTTCTACAGCTTCATCATTGGGAAAATGTTCAGCCGAAGAGGGCCGAACAAATGGAAGTCACTTGGAGCAAGGTCGGGGCTATATGGAGGATGCTTGAGGACTTCCCACTTGAGATTTCAATGCATCTCATTTGTCTTGCTGGCAGTTGGGGACGCACATCATGCAAGAGCAACACACCAGACTCCTGGTCGCTTCCGCTGAATGGCCTTACAAAGTTTCCTGAGGACGTTACAGTAGAAGTTGGCATTTACAGTTGTTCCTTGAGGCTGGAATGCAGTGAGCAGTATGCTTTCGTGATCCCAGAAGACTGTGAGCATCGCTTTCCTGGAGGATGGTGTCACNACCTTGAACATTTTTTTGGCAGGCAATGCAGAATGTTTTCACTGCATTGATGCACGCTTTGTCTCGGGCTGGTAATGGTGAACCCAAGACTCATCACCTGTGACANCATAATTACATATGTAAGTCAATAAGTAAGTTACAAATGGGTATAGAACTTAAACAAATAAAGAGTACTGATCTGAAAATCTGTTGTGGGGTCAGCATGTGCGGCACCCATCGTGCACAGACTTTGTGAAAACCTAACCTGTCATGCATTATGAGGTAGATCATGCCATGTGAACATGCCTGGTTCCAACAGCAGCCCAAAGAATTTTATGCTGCTGGTTTTCAGGGGCTTGTGAAATGATGGGACAAGTGCCTCAGTGTACAGGGAGATTAGGTTGAGAAATAAAAGCATTTTTCAAATCAGTACTCTTATTTGTTTAAGTTCTATATCCATTTGTAACTTACTTACTGACTTACCTTCATATAATTTGGTTGTGTCTATCACAATTTACTTTCCTTGTGTATATTGTTGTGTTTTTAAACTTTCGTATGATTGTAAATGACCTTTACTGCATATATGCAAAAATAGAAAGTTATGAAATTTGGGTTTGGGAAGGTATACAGATTGTTTATCACATTTAAATATACCCCTCGAATTGGTGTCATATGTGTTTTCATTTCTGAGTTGCAGGTGTTTGGAATCCTGACATCATTTTCATGCACCCTGTATTTCTTTTAGTGACTGCATTAGAGTCTTAGGTTTGAGATATACAATTCATGCAACACTACAACTGCTACACTTCACTGATGTCAAAAGCATATCATATGTCAGAACAGTCATATAAGCAGGAAGTTATAACATGGCATGCTGTAAATACATGACAAGCATCGATGTAATACTCTACCTGGACCAGCTTCTGAAGTGTCAAAACTGATCTTCTTAGTGTTATGAACTGCCAGCTCTAATCGACCTTCTGAGTCTGTGAATGATTCCCAACCTCCTATAACCCGCACCTTAAGTGGGTCTACAATCTTCGGATGGAATGGGGATCCTTAAACAGATTTTGAATTATTTAATCATATGAAATTACTTGAACTTGTATCTTTAAAATTTTAGCGTAACAATCTGGAATAACTGTGCTTACCTGGTATAGGGCTGTCATCCCAGTCTACCCTGACATCATAAACCCCAACTTCCAAAGGAGTGTAAGTGACTACATATATTCCATCAGCCTCTCTTTCTATGCTACAGGTAGCCACATGGTCTGGTCCATCCACATGAACAGTCGGCTTCCCTGGTAGACCAGGTCCCACAACCTTGAAGGTACTAGGACTTCCTACTTGGCCACAAAATAAGCCATCACCACTTGCATTCGCTACCCCTGAATCTTCAACAGTAAATGTTAATGGTGAACCTACATGAAGAAATAAAATACAGCACTATTGAACATATCTTCACAAGGTATTTCATAGTTCAAATACAGGAATGTAGAGTTCTGTAATGGTGATGAACCAAGTTTTTTAGTTTATTTCATGAAATGCACATGCTATTTTTGAACACATTACATTAAGAGAGTATTGGCAGTTGTTTGTGGAAGATGACATGCTTACTAGAAAATGTACTGAAAATGAAGGCAGACAGTTTGAATACTTACTACTGACAAAACTCAGAATAATGATTTCAGATGTGAAGATCTTTACCCAGAAAACCAGAACTGAGAGGGTGTCGACTAGATTAATCTGGCTCAGGATAGAGTCTTGTGAATGCAGAACTTAACCTTTCACTCCCACAAAAAAAAAATGAAGCATTAATTCGCAGCTGAGTTACTATTATCATCTGAATGAATCTGATCTTAAGATTACTTAAAGCCAATACATGTGACCTAGACAAGATGTGAGGTTTTCTCAGTGGTGGAAATTAAGACTGTGGTCTTCTGGGTCATTAAAGCATACACTTTTATATCTGGTTACTAGCATTTCAGAGGAACCTGCTGCCTCCATCTTCAGGACAGAAATATGACTTTCTTCCTAATATACCCAAAATCTCTTCTCCTCCATATGTCATTTTGAAGCGGTAATTTCCAGGTAAACTTGGGCAGAACTCAATTAAGTCACAGTCCTTGTCGTTTCCACAGCTCTTAACTTCGAGGGGTAAATCTTGGCCCAAAGGACTAGTCACTGTTACATCCAACTCAGCAAACCCAGCTTCTCTGCGCTGAACTGAAACAAAATAAATCAGAGATTCACATTACATATAGGTTACTTTCCTTCAGTGCCTCAGTTTCTTTGGGCACTATTGTGTGCTTTTTATAATAGAGCTTGAAATAAATTTAGTACATAAATTGAAAACCATTAACAGATGTCAGACTTGAATACAAAATCGAAATTGAAGCAAGCAAAAAAAAAAAATTACAAGTATAGTATTTAAGCAAATGTGAAGGAGTTCAGTGTCATAAAAACTCTAGTTTATCAAATGTCGACAAAATTAAAAGATCATTAGCTTCCTGTGAATGGCTACATGAAAAAAGAACCTGCAAGTGACTGGAAACAAGGACATAAACTATATAGGAATGGTGCAATATAAAGGAAAAATTCCAATTTCAAGCATCAGTATGTACTGTCACTTTAGGTAAAAATAATAAAAAGGGTATTTAGTCACTGATAGTTATAATATCAATAAATTTAATTAAAAAGATAATAAGCAAAGAGAAAACAAGGAGATATAAAATGAAACTGTGTCCACACTTTGGTTTCCCCTGCCAATCTTCATTCCACCAAATTCTCCATCATCATAATCACCTGCAGGCTACAATAGGCCAATCAGTGGCTGCTGTGCTGAGTGGACCCAGTAGGACTCCAGCCCCCACTAGCGAATTAATTAATTAACTGCCCAATGAACAGTACTTTTATACTATCTTTACTATTTTAATCTTCATTTCTATTTTGGCCAAAGTCCAGGAAGTGATCTTGAATGTGCATATAAAACATATATTACTGTATAATAAAGTACATACTCAGAGTTCACTTGATCATCTAAAAGATCATTTATGACCATTTTTGTCTTCCTTTACCTGTTTCGTAAAATGCATGACCAACAATCTTGACTAAAAATTTCATGAAATTAAGAACTTAATCCAACAGTATTTTACAAAATTCCACTTACCTTATGCTTATGTAGATAATGCTTCCTATTTATATAAAAAGTTTTGGAAACGTGTTTGCATCTACATTTTAAAGTACTTACGCCTGAAGGCAATCTTCTCATTAACAGCAACTGATTTTGACCCCACATCTTCTATCTTCACTTTGGATGCATCAAAAACTTGGCAGTAATATGGAGAACCACGAACAGCCCTCGAACCTTGTGTCACATCAATTTTGTATGTTCCTAAATAAATTGTGGAAATCGTGAGCCCTTGCAACACAACATATTCCTGAATTAAATAACTTGGCAAACAGCTCAAGCTGAGTCTCAAGGTTACTGTAGGTGAACAAATAAATTTTCATTATAGTTAATAGCAGTTACCCTTACTAAACTCCATTAATGAAGTTATATTTTTGTCAGTAATATGCAATTTAATGTAATATTTTATATAAACCCTAAAATTTGGATTCCAAATGGATATGCATATCATATTTGCACATTCTGATGAAATTAAATTTGAGAGTTCTTATGGAAGTATAAAATGATACTTTTGAAACATATTGGCCAATCAGAGATATATGTTTAACAAAACAGGACATAGCAAAATTAAAAGGTACCTGTTCCCTTTGTATAGTAGTACTGAAATTCAATTCAGGGTCCATATGAATGTAAGCCAGAGACATGAATGCAGAACTATCTTGTCTGTGCTTATAAGTTCCATCCAGCAAGTTCTCTTCTTATTACTACTATTATTATTATTATTATTATTATTATTATTATTATTATTATTATTNATGCACTGCGACCAGTTGTTGATCTATTGTGTGTCCCCCTTTTTAATTTCTACTGTCGCCATGCCCTTCCAGTACTGGTGCTCGCTATCAGCCCCGTTCTGCCAGCGAGGTCGGCCACCTCTCTGGCAGTGGTCCCCGATACTTCCCCATCTACCGGAGGAACTGGAAACTACTTGGGCGGGAAACTTTTGCCTAATTTTGCTCAGAGGTCTCCTTGAGACATGAGGATCTTTTACATGCCGTAAATCTAAGACACAGGACACACGGCTTAAAGTCCCTCCTGGAGGACTTGTTCCCTGAATTTTTCCGCCCTTACAAATTCCACGACCTCCGCCGGGTTTATTACTCCTAACTACTTAACAATATTTCTTCCAGTGTCTAATGTAAAACATTAATTTATCTAAATAATAAAACACATGTGAGAATGATTTTTTCAATTTGAAACAAGACTGAGATGAGAATTTTCTCTACTAGACCAATTGTTTTCAGTACAATCACAATTTAGAACACTAGTCACTTCCACAATGCATTACAGTGTGCTTATTTTCTTCTTGATATCAGAATATTTTTCAATGAATTTTTTTAATAATTGAATTTAAAAAAATTATCTTCTAAGGCTATGTCCATATTTGCCATTGGCAAAAAGAATAGAGACTCTGTTGTAAGTTTATTCATGCTAGTTTATACAATATATTTCCATCTAGAATGCAACTTATTATTGTCCCCTTTCTTCTCACAACGTGTTTCAGCTGTACACGGCCATCATCAGGTGCCTCTAATTTGCTGTAATTGTTGCACTGCATGGTATGTCCAACTTCTCATATCACATGTGAATGTGATATCTTTTAATTTAAAATAAATGGCATTTAATTAAAATCAATAAAACTCTTTAAAATTTAGTTAAAATTTCAATATTTTGCTTGAGGCATTGTCCAATGATACAATCGACACTGTCTGAGGTCTCCTTGATTGGATTTATTTGTGCAGTGGCATGGGTGTTTGTGTGTTATTGTGTAGTTCCCAAGTATGTTGCTGTAGTTACCATCTGCAGTATGCAAAGAACATTTTACTATTATTGTCAGTTTGGCTATATTTAGTGTTTTTCTATGTTAGTTTACTTCTTTATACTCACGTGTGCCCCCTTGACTGTAGGGGACAATAAGAAGTTGCATTGTAGACAAATATATTGTATGAAATAAATGCTACATTAATGCAACAGGATGCTTAAACACAATATTATTCATGCTAGCACTGCCAACTTTAAAGATTGTATGGACTGGGCAGTATGCATGTTACTGTGCAAAGTAAGTGCAGTTATTTGACAATTCTTGAAGTGTGAGATTGAAAATTAAAGTTTAAATCAAAATCTAGATATTTTTCTTGATTTAGTTTAAAAACATTGAGATTTGCACCCACATATGAGTTACATATTACAAGAACAGTACCTGCAGTGTGAGCTGTAAATTCAGCCAACAAGTTTCCATCTTTCTGCTGATAGCACCTTACAGGCACAGCAGAGCCCTGAGGACCTGTAATAACCACATCAAACTCTTTTGTTGGGTGACCCAATGTCTCAATGACAAAGCTTGTTACTTTCCCTGCACGTGATTGGTACAGACCAAGTCCTGTGGCTATGACATCTTGTCCAACTGCTGGATTCTTCACAGACACTTCAAATGGACACCCTGGAAAGCAAGTGCATTTATATTACTTGACTCATATGTGCTACACTATCATCCATTTTAATGACAGAATCTTAGACTAAAGTACAGTACTCTTATAAAAGAACTTGTTCCTACAATTAAATAAGCACTAACTGTAACACATATGGAAAGTGAAGGTATATCCCCATTCATTCTTAATCTCAGCAATAGATGGAGGTGAATGGTCAGCTTCAGCTGCTTTTACCCCATTAAAAATATTTCCTTGGTACCTATATAGGAGACTTAGGCTGCGCCATAGCTCAAGCGGTTAGTCGCTGGTTTCCCACCGCGGTGGCCCGGGTCTGGTCAAGTGGGATTTGTGGTGGACAAAGTGGCACTGGGGCGGGTTTTCTCAGAGTACTTCGGTTTCCCCTGCCAATCTTCATTTCACCAAATTCTCCATCGTCGTAATCACCAGGGGCAGGCTACAATAGGCCAATCAGTGGCCTCCGTGCCAAGTGGACCCAGTTGGACTCCCCCCCCTAAGCAAATTAAAAAAAAATTATATAGGAGACTTGGTGGGCCCCAGAGCTAATCTCGACAATGTGCTGAGAGAAAAATCCCTGTCCATGGCAAGAATCAAACCTCAGTCATACAGCATTTCATCAGTCACTGTTGACTGAGCTGCACTAGATCTGGTTGAAAATAAAGAAAATAAATCTAGTAAAATTTTTGACAACATATCAAGATGCTTTATATTTGATGTACTAAAGCTCTTTCTGTAACCGTTCTACAAAATACTGTCATTTAAATTTGATTAAATTTATATTACATCTGTATTACTATAAGCATATGTCCCTCTTCATGTCCACATGTCTCTCTGTTCTGACTAATAACCTCTGAACCAAGTAATTTTTTATTGGAAGCCACTGTATATAGCTCCCTAATCACCTATCATGAAAAATACCAACATGAGATCTTGCAAAATCCATGTTTACTTTTCCACCTGATAGCAAGTGATTAACCATTAGAACAGGCATCTTAAACTGGAATTGGCAATATAAATTCTGTATGAATCATTCTTTGTGGGCTAGAAGTTACAAATATGGCAAGGTTCAAGTTCTCTGAATTTATCTCTAACAGCTTTCACTCTGGATATCTATACTAATTGAAGTTATGCAGACAGTTTCCTAAGGTATACAATTAGTAATTTCTAATTTCTACTAGTTTCTCTCTGCAGTGTTTAATCAGAGCATACAGTGTATTATACTGTCACATGTTAGTGACTACATATGAGGTTTGGATTGGTAATTGGATTCCTTGAACTCTTATAAACCGTAACTACAAGTAATTGTTGTGCTCTCACTAATTCACAGACTCAACTTCTCACTACAGAACACACCAAGTCCTTTCAGTTTGTCTTCATTCATGACACACCTCAACAATGGCCTTTTCTGCTCACGTCATTGCCATCCTTTGACCAAACTGACTCATAATGGCAACTAGCTCTCAACTCATGACTGACTGTCAACTCAGCTGGTGCCCTTGTTACATAACCTCAGCATGGACTACATATACACCACTTCCAAAGAACTACACTATTGTTGCATGTTAATTTGTTGCTATAGAAACGTGTTTATCGAGTCATTACCAAACAGTGGGCTGTCTCTGTCAGTATCAAATCATAATATATTAATGCAAATTCCATGAAATAGTGGGCCAGCCTGACTTGTATCAGAATAAAACAAATCATTGCCAAAAAAAGAAGATATCTGTTACCTGCTGTATGTAAGCCATTATATTTGAGATCAATTCTGTGTGGAACAGCAAGCTTAGGATGATAGACCACTTGGTACTGTCCTGCATCCAATTCATGTACAGCATGTTTGACTTCCTGTCCAGCAGCCCTCACACTTGCTGACAGCACTCCTCGTCCTGCTCCTGACACATCCACTGCAGGCAAATCTCCTCCGATTATGATAGCACTTACAAGGATTCAGATCTTTGTTTTAGTTCTACAGTAAAATTGAGTGAAATTTCAACACAGGAAGAATTTCCTAAGTTCAGAAAATAATTTCCTCTGTTCATCCTCCTCCTGTCATTTCCTCCCTCTTACTTCCAAATATTCTCATCAACACTGCATTCAAAACAAACAACTTCAGTCTGTATTCTTCCATTATTTTGAGAGATTAAGTTACACACCCATACAAAACAACAAGTAAAATTATAGTTTTATGTTTTTTAGTTATGCTTTTAGACACAAGACAGGAACATAAAAGATTCTGAATTTAATGGTAATTAGAATTATCTGAACATAATATGCTCTTAACATTTCAGTGAATATAATTTTGAATTGTTACCAACATTCCCAAATATCTGAACTCTGCTACATTTACATACTGTGATATTAAGATTTTGTAATGCATTCAGGCCATAAAGAATGGGCATATGCTTAGTGTTCTCTGAGCTTGTAACTAGACCAGCCTCTTTAGTAGTGTCTCAGGAGTTAATGTCATTTGTCTTTATTGTGTTTACACTGATATCACATAGAGAAGCTAATGTATTACATTCAATTCCAATATCTCCTGAATTTCTGGACCTTCACAGTGACAGTTCTAAACATAAATTGAAGATCAGTGCTAATAAAGAATCTTCTTATTGACGTTCATGCTGAACATGAAATGAATCAGACAAATATTTACCTACAGAGACTTTATTATAAGTTTCATTTAAACATGCTTTAATTAGCTTAACTAGTTTCATGAATACACCAAATTTGATGAGCATGTTGTGGAATAATTCTGCCTGGAGTCATATTTTCTTGAGGTCTGTAAATCTCAATTGCTGAATGTCTAATCAGTACTTTGTCTATATTATTATTTGTTACAATGAATGCAGTGAACAGGATGAAAGTAACAGTCACACCTGGTTCAGGGGAAATGGAACCAGAACAACTCTTACTGGTTTTTTAAGAACATAACAGAAATTATAGACAGTACATATTCATTAACTGTTAAATTAATCTGTCTTGTTAAATAACTTGCATCCATATTGTCGTGTGTGTGTGTGCATGACTATAAACAGGGTTTTGGATTGGATATTCATTTATTGACTACTTACAGGTCGTAACTACAAATACTGTAATACTATCACTGCTTCCGCACTTTACAAAATCATGCTAACTCTTTTCCAGTCCACAGTCCACAGTGTCTTCACTAGTAGTTGCCTGGTAACAGCTTATAACAATAGCTATTCCTCTGCTTCTGGGCTCAGTTTCTCTCTGAACAACGGCTCCCTTCCAAATGAACTATTCTTGCATTAATTTTCCTCCTTGTAACCCCTTTTAATGGACCGAGTAGAAGACACAATTTCCAACAGTACCTCTGTTGTTGCATGCATATCCATTGTTGCAGGAACATGTTTACTGAGCCACTGCCTAGATGGCTCTACATGCTACAATATCTTTCTGGTATTGTCACCTTGCAACATTAATATACACCGTAACTTATACATGACTGGCATGAACAGACCTTTGAAACTTGCAGCGCGATGACAAAATGCTTCTTCCATTTCAACAATTTTGACTTGCCGAGGATCAAACACTTCTACAGTGAAGGGCTGCTTACTGATTGGCTGTTCCTGATGGAACACTATAATACTATGAAGTCCAACCTGTTGAGGTCTGTATTCTGCTCGATACAAGCCTGATGCTAGTTTCTTTACATAGCATGGAACATGGGAACCATGAGGACCTAGAACAATTAATGATATGCATTAATCTTTATTTACATTCACAACATAACTTTCAAATTATCATCATAAAGTATGCAGTACTTTAAAATCTGTATCACACTTGTTTAAAGGTCAGATATATTTAGGGTGCAGTATACAGTTTACTAAAACTGTTTTCCATTTCTAGATAATCATATTTTTATAAACATCTATTGTCTTTCTCACAATAAGAATTAACATGGACCAGTGCAACTGTCACGGTTTTGTCATTATTATAATACTGTTTTTACATACCCATGTATGATTTAATGACATTTTTTAGAATGATAAATACTTTTTTACAGAATTTCACCAAAATGAGTATTATTACAAACATTTTATGTTATATAAACTGAAATTAAAGAAGCTACCCCAGTAGTAATGTGCATATGTTCAGAAGCTTCCTCTACTATTTCCTTGATTTGCTTCCTGGGCAAAGTTTTATTGATTTCTAGTATGTAATGGGAAATGCAGCGCACAGAACAGCAAAAATTTTGATACCTACGAATAGTGTTTGGTACAGATAGTATGGATTGTATAGTCAGGAAAGAGGATGACCATGGAATAGGTTAAACACTTGATGTCTGAAGATAACTGTATGTAAGATTATTTTTGTATACTTACTTATCACAGCAGGAGTGGTCATCTCCCATTACATACATAAACATTAGTGACATATATTTGTGATGTTTTAAACTGAATATATGTCTGGATGTATGCCTACCTTCAGGAGAGTATACTGACACTGGATCACCTAGTATTTAGCATGTTGAGATATTCTTTGTTAGCCCCAATTAATACATTCCTGGAAACTGACATATGAAGTGAAATGAAAGTGAGTTAATTTTAACATGCTATAATAGGGCATGTATTCTAAAATAATGAAAAAACTTTAACAATAGTTGCTTACTTTTAAATTTTCTATTAATATTAGCATTATTTATTTCACAGTTTACAGAAAATGAGGATGATCCAGGGATTGCTGATGGGAGTGAAGATACTGGAGTAAAATCAGGCAGGGCATGTCCCTTTGCAGAAGCTGAAGGCTCCAACTCAGTGGCCTGGCAGCTCTCAACTCTGAAGAAGTGATGGAGAGATAACTGGCATGCAACTTTCCTCCTGTTCCTTGAAAGTTCTTCATTACAAACTGAAGAACTCTCAGTCACTTCCAAATATAGTAACCCCCTGAATGTGGATATTAATCACAAGAGTTCACTAGAAAACAGGTTTCAGCAAGTTTGCTGTAATCTATGATTTCCATACAACAGGTAAAATCCCATTAGAATAATCCTTGGGTGCTCAAGGGTTTTTTGAGTGATACATCATCAGAGGTTTGATTTTATAACCTCCAGATTCATTTCCGCCCAACAGCAATGTGCAGCACTGTGTGGCTATCTTGAAGCATGGGGTTGCCTTCTCCTGCACAAAGATGAATGTTCTACTTGACATCTCATTCCACATTTGTCTGGTCTCATCCAGACTGAATATTAAATGATTAAATGAGATGTCACTGCAACGTTAAGTGTATCTCATTTACTCCAATGAGGTATTATATTTCATCATAAACCCTAACCATATTCACCCATCTGGGAATGAGCTCAAAACTCCCATCACAGTAGAAATTGGGCTCTTGCATTCACAACCATTCACCAACAGCCATTTCCATGTCTTCATAATTGTATCTTAGCATCTGACTGACTGACTGACTTTTGCACTATTTGCTGCATGTTGCCCCTACCCCCACCAAGTGCTACCATGTACTGGAAACCACAATGCTTGAATAACATAGATGTTACTGGCTAGGGAGCCTTAGGTATTTAAGATTCCTCATACTTACCACAAGACAGGGGCAGAGCCAACTCTTAAAAAATCATCTCACATAATTGAGGTGTAACAGAGCTTGACGAGTATGAAAATATATGTAACACCACACTTCACATGAAAACTCTGAGCACTGCAAAAAGGAAATGGTTCACTCCCCTAATGAAATAGCTTGCAGTTAACAAAAGTTCAGAAGTAAATCTCCACTCACCCGTAACTTCCATATCTATGCGACCATCCATGCCTTTGGGATCCACGTCAAAATAAGCAGTGGATCCTACAACCACATCTTTCAAACCTTCTCCACGAACTGTAACCATACGGGACTCTTTACGATGCATATGTCGCATTTCTTTTACTCCCAGTTCTAGAACTTCACATTTAAATGGACTACCTAGAATGAAAATTTATCACAGCATTAACATTATAATTATATTTCTCAACAGTAGTAAATTTTCTATTATATATTCTGTAATCTCAGTATACTAAAGAAGAATGTGAGTCCTCATACTTAAGTGTTGTAGGCTTCTTATGCACATATAACAGTTATTCTTTAATAATAAGAGTCTCATAAAATCCTGATGGCACAGATTTAACCTCTTAAAAATTCTTTGCTGTACTGCTGGGAAACAGGATGGTGTGTTCCTTTCGTTTATGGTATTTCATAACCACCGTTTCATGATACCAGCAGAGTTGGGCCACTGTTCAGTACAGCATATGCAGAATTTAAATATCCCACAATTCAATTAGCAACATATAATGAAATAAGCACTTGGAATATGTATTAATTTTTAAGAGTTATAAAGCCGGAAGATCGCGGGTTCAAGTCCTGATGAGGTCATTGGATTTTTTTTCAATTGACCTAATTCTTCCAGCCACACTATGACCCTGGGGTTGACTCAGCCTCTAACAGAAATGAGTACCAGGAATTAATTAAATAATTTTCCTGGGGAGTAAAGCGTGGCCGGCACATAGGGCTGACAACCTTACCGCCATCTTGGAGCCGATTGTCTAGATAATGTGGGACCCTCAACGTCTCACAACCCTATGGGCCTTCACAGCCTGGTGCAAGGATAGCTTTACTTTTACTTTACTTTTTCTAAAGAGAAACGACTGTAATGAATATTCATCATGTTTTTAGGTAATATACACTTTCACGGTACATATATAACCAACAGATGTGACATCCATATATAACAGAGTAATACTGTATATTCCTTAAATAGTCTGTAAGTATTAACATATTGTATGCTGCTCACTGTATGTATAACACAAAATTTCAAGTTCCTGTGATGCAGCTTCCAACATAAATCATAATTTAAATATGACCTCTGCCATTTATCTTTTGTGCAGTACAGCTAGGGCTCAATTAATGCAGACAATGAATCCCACAAGTGGTCTTATTACTCGAATTCACACTATTTTAAGTCATGTAAAATTCCAACTCGACAGAAATATTTTATCCCCTTCCCTCTCAATTCTAGACTTTTTAAACTGTCACTTTCACTCAATTTTACATGTGTTAAAATACTCTGTACACAAAATACTGACCTGGAACATCCTCCTCATTGAATGAAATATTTACAAAATGAGGTACTGGTTCATGAGGAACAAAGGTAACATCATATAGACCTCTGGAACAGGCAACTACTTCTGCCTTCACTGTTGTCTTGTCTGTGCTCACAACCAGTTCCAATGTCCCTTCACCTGCTTCTGAAGCATCTACCGTGAATGTTGCAGGTTTGCCAACCTGAAATATATCAAGATGCAGTCTAAACAAATTTTTGTAAAATATTCAATACAAAAAGGAAGAACTGATCTGTTTTTTTTTTTTTTTTGTTGATTATCTAAGAATGTTATCAGATAAAGCAGTTCCAAATGTTAGAGAGATTAGTGAATATTAAATTAAAAGGATATGGGAAGAAGTGGTCATGGCCTGGTTAGAGGCACTGTTGCAATAATATCTGCCTGGATGGACTGAGGTAAACCGCAAAAATCATCGGTCAGGATTGTCAGTGATGTGGCCAAATTTGAAGTGAGCATCTCCTGAGTACAAGCTGGACAATTTACCATTTCAGTCCATTTACTTGGTGTCTAGTCACTAACACTATATATTTCTGCAGACATAAAGGCAATAAAAGAAGTGCAGAATTTCAGGTTACTATTGAGGATAAGAACTGAAAGATAATGGGCAAAGCAAGAACCTTACACCATTTATGTCTGTAGGTTCTATTGATTTATGGGTTATTTAATGATGCTGTCAGTAACTTAGGCCAGTAGTTTCCAACCTTTGGGCCATGATGTTATTCCAGATTTCACAACAAGTGTTGCTGGTCCAGCCAGCGCTTTATTTCCTGTTATCCATCGCTGCAAGCGAGGCATCTTTGAACATGGTGCGCCCAGCAGGAGCTTCTAATTCCTACCCCTTGCTACACCCTGTGCATATCTGTCAAGCCTTACTACCACAAAGTCAACAGCCAGAGGTGCATATGTGAACGTGCTAGTGATCTGCTGACTCTGCTGACACCGATAAAAATGGCAGATGTAAACTGTCTATTTTCTGCATGTAACCTGCAGCCATTTTTTCTTATTAGATTGCATGTAAGATTTTCCTTCACTTTTACTGACTTAGAATGATTATTTCTTGCATATCTTGTTTCAGTTTGCAATTATTCTTCTTGCAAAACCTTTGCCGTTATTTTTGTACATACGCATTTTAGTCATCCAGGCTAAATGCTAAATATGAATGTTGATGGCTATTTTTTGCTGTCTTTATTTAGGTATCTGGTGCCAGTGGGGGTAAAAGTTTACCAGTGGATCAGCAGTTCAAAACAAGCACAGTGAAAAGGAAGAAAGTGAAAGTGGTACATCCAGTGAAACTCTGCAGCACCAGCAAAATAAGAACAAATTTTGGAAATATAGCAACAGCTATCTCAAGATGGGTTTTATATGGACTCTTTCTGAAGACCACCAAAGACCACTGTATACAATCCGTTATGGGGTGCCCTCAAATGAAGGCTTAAAACCTATCAGACTTTGTCAGTATTTGGGAGCCCAACACAGTGACTGTACCAATAAGCCAGTGGAATTTTTTCAAAGGGAACTCAGAGAATTAAAGCAAAGTAGCAAACTGCTGCATTATACAGCTACAGATAGTAGTAAGATGAAGGCCAAGGCCGCGCCATAGCTCAAGCAGTTAGTCACTGGCTTCTCACCGCGGCGATCCTGGGTCTGGTCAAGTGGGATTTGTGGTGGACAAAGTGGTTCTGGGGCG